CATAGTCAGAAGAGTGTTCGAAATGATCGTTTCTCTAGGCCTCACTATAACCAACACAGGAGTCATCAGGCACAAACGAACCGAAGCGATTCCAAGAATATTTCAAACCTCAACACCCATATGAGACTAGATAACGCTGTCTCACTAGCCGGCGAGCAAAATCAGACAAGTTCTCAACTAGTTTTGATGACTGCTGAAGCTCTTTGGAACCACAAGAAGAAAAAGTACGAAAGTGTGCTATTCCTATTCGACTCTGGGCCCAGAAGACCGTTATAGAACAGCGAATCGCTGAGCAGTTTGGTTTGCCAAGGTCCACAACTGAGATCTGTACTATGTCGGGTATCGGTGGGCACACAGACAAGTTCGAAGGTTCCGTAGTAACTGCAAAGGTATGCACTGCGTTTGGAGAAGATCGCGACCTAAAGATCCAAACAAAACCCGTGCTTACCAGCGGATTTCCCAGCGTCAAACTGACAAATATGGACAATGATTTTTTAAAAAAGAAGAATATTTGCTCAGCAAACTCCAAGCTTCGAGGGGAGCACCAACGTCCTTACATTTTAGTAGGATTAGACTTTTATCATGAATTGATACTGAGGACTCCATGGGAGAAACACCTTCAGGCCTTCATGTTGCAACGACTATATTTAGGCCTACCCTATACGTAAAGGGTTACTGGTAGAAGAAGCTACCTAACCCAAGTCATTCTACGAGATGACGGCGATCGTGATCGTGGACATCTAGAATCCCAGCCTTTCGCCCGATAATAATGCTACAGCAATAAATACGCTAAGTTCACAAAGTAAAAGTAAACCTGGAAAAACTCTTACGGATTATTGCGGAAATATTGCGGAAAAAGGCCAACAATTTCTAGGGGGTCAACGCGAAATAGAGCCAGGTATCGACCTCCCCTACGCGATGTAGAATTACCTTTACGAAATCGAACCAGTATCAGGTCGTTCAAAAAGCATATTAGGCTAAGTCCTATTGATGCACAAAGCAAATACAAGGCTTGCTTAGAGAACCACGCACAACGTCCTCACTATTACCCTCCGCCTTATTGCTGCGACCCACGCAGCAGGTCCAATGACCGTTTTGCTAATCATGACAAGAGAATAATAAGTTCTGGGTATCTTAACGTCAGAAACGCGAAAAATTGTATCCATTCTAAACCACTCAGTGTATGCAGGATCAATTCCAGTAAGGCACCAACGTGTGCATCCATGCCTCTATAATAATCATATTTATGATCTATCAGTCAAAAAATAGAGGCAAAATTAGTTGCCAAAAGTTACTCATTGTTAATAATTTGAGTCATTATGACAACTATTTACATTACTCATTGTTAATAATTTGAGTCATTATGACAACTTTTTACAATGTTGTGTGGTGAAGAAGTGTTCAAAAGCTGTTTAACCCCGCCACCCACATTCTGGCTTCACATGGAGATAACAGCAATTCTGATAAAGCAACTGGATATCCTAAAATACCAGCTAGTTGTTCTTACAGCACCCCCGAGCCAGCTCCTTAGGTTCGTAATTAG